CCCTGCCAAACCCATCCCCCAGCACCAGCGGTGGTCCCAGGCCACCCCTCCACCACCTGTGGCACCTCCAGACCGTCCCCCTCTCCCCGAGCACCCGCAGCCACCCACCCAAGTTTTAGTTAGGGGTATATAATAAAAGTCATGGACAAGTCACAGGCTGTGAATTTTTGTTTACTGCCCGTGACCTGTCCATGACTTTTACTGAAAAGACTGTGACTAAAACGTACCCTTACCAATAAGAAGCACTTTTGAAAATCCCACGCTAGAGTCTTTAGTTAGAGCATTCCGATGGAGATTGCTATACAGACCCCTCCTACCATACACAGACTGTTGTGCAAAGTGATTCTTTCAAGGGGCAGTAATTACTAGCAACATCTTATAATATTAAAACAGCACTTCAAAACTCAAGTGGACTTGTCCTGATTTATGCCCACTTATATAATGTTTGCATGACTTGGAATATAAAAACTAGATTTGTTAGTTCTTTTTCTGTTTCTAGTAAGTTTCATGCTATGGTTCCTATTATTGCTGTGTTTGGGGTCCCAGACTAGCCCGGAAAGTTTACCTTTGCACCCACGGTTCAGAAAATTTTAACTGACATTAAAAACAAATACTGAAAGCATTTCTATCAATAGCAGCTATTGGATACCCATATGTTCCGCAAAAATTTCCGCAACTCAAAAATTCTATTTCTGGCTTATGGAACTTTATCCGTAAATGCTAATTTGCGTAAGTCAGGTCTTGCGTAACCCGGGGAGCGTCTGTAAAAGGAAAAACTTAATTTTGGGGGCCCAAATTTACTGATTGTTGTCTTTGCAATGTGGCTTTACAATTCTGCTCCAGAAAATTATAATGAAACTTACCATTTGCCTAAAATAAATATCACACTTTCACTGCATTCCTTACCTGACTGGCTTTTCTATTCATTTTGACTATGCATAAAAATTTCCATGCATATTTCATTTCATTATGTTCTGTGATAAGAATGGAGGTTGCAAACCAGCAACACTGAAATCAATGGAAGTTTTCCACTGACTTCAGTGGATCCTTATTTCCTCTAGAAAAATATTTGCTTTTGTTACAGATTTTTTTTCTTCATTTTTACACAGTACAAATACATCTAGAAACTGTCTTTGATCTAAATTGTTTTGAGCTCACTTCCTGGTAGAAGAGATGCTGCTCCACTCCAGCGAATGCTATGAAACTAGAAAGAGTTCAGTCATTTACAGCTGTAGGAAGGAGATGAAACATGACAGAAATCCCCTGGGACAGGGCAAAATTTTATAAAGGATAAAGCACGTGCAGCGAGGCACATGTAATCTACTGATTTATATAACAAACAGCACCTGTGTTGCTGAGAGTGCATGCTGCATTGCTTTCATGCTGCAGTGCAAACGTGCTTTCAAACCAACCTGGTTTACTGTGAAAAGAATCAGCAGCAATTCAATTTAGTTTTGAGCCGGTAAGTTCTAATACGATGAACAAGGAGCCATCTGTTCCCTCTTCATAGTAAAAAGGCTAAGAGCTACACCAGTATTACACAAAGCTGAGCTGTGTTAATTAATTGGTATTATCCCATACAACTAGGAGAGAGTTTGCAGGCAGCAGCAGCCAACCTGACTGTAGAGAGCCAATGAAGAGCTTTTCCTGCAACGAGGCATGTGAATTATGGAAATGGCAGCACACTTTTCTAAGAACTTGTCCACACTGAGGATTTGCCCCAGCTACCACCGCTGGTGTTAACACCAGTGTAGCTACACGAGCAACAGCCAATCCTGTAAAAGTGAACTACTAGACACCACAATTTGCACCAGTGTAAATGAACCTGGTTTCAAGCAGGTCTTAAGCTGCTCCAATGCATATGGTGGTTATAGCCTACGTTAGAGGTGTGCATTGAAACAACTACACTGCGGGCTGCCACCATTGGTTGAAATCTCCAGTGTAAACAAGGGCCAAGAATTTCAACAGTGGCTAGTGACTATGGGTGCTTCAATTTCTGGGGGTCCAACTTGAAAGACCTGAGAGGAGCCTAGTTTTCAGAACAGGGTGTTCAGCGCTTTCTGAGCATTGGGCCCTTTAAGGTACCCAGAGATTGAGGCACCCATACTTAGGAGTCACTTTGAAAATCTTGGCCAAAACCAAATTGACACTGCTAGCCATGTGAGATGAAGCACAGACACACCCCACAGTTGAGCAGATAAGTCCCTGAATACTGAAACATCCACTGTATAGGTCTGGTTCCATGCTATGATGTGGAAGTTTGCTCCTGCACTTAAAACGGAAGAATCCCATGCTATAGACTAGGGACCGAGTGGCTAGGCAGCAGTTCTGCAGAAAAGGACCTAGGGGTTACAGTGGACGAGAAGCTGGATATGAGTCAAAAGTGTGGCATTGTTGCCAAGAAGGCTAACAGCATTTTGGGCTGTATAAGTAGAGGCATTGCCAGCAGATCGAGGGACATGACCATTCCCCTCTATTTGGCATTGGTGAGGCCTCATCTGGAGTACTGTGTCCAGTTTTGGGCCCCACACTACAAGAAGGATGTGGAAAAATTGGAAAGAGTCCAGCGGAGGGCAACAAAAATGATTAGGGGGTTGGAACACATGATTTATGAGGAGAGGCTGAGGGAACTGGGATTATTTAGTCTGCAGAAGAGAAGAATGAGAGAGGATTTGATAGCTGCTTTCAACTCCCTGAAAGGGAGTTCCAAAGAGGATGGATCTAGACTGTTCTCAGTGTTAGCAGATGACAGAACAAGGAGTAATGGTCTCAAGTTGCAGTGGGGGAGGTTTAGGTTGGATATTAGGAAAAGCTTTTTCACTAGGAGAGTGGTGAAGCACTGGAATGGGTTACCTCGGGAGGTGGTGG